GGAAAGGCTTGTTTTAAAATAACGTCTACTGCTGTCTCTTATACACATCTAGATGTGTATAAGAGACACGTTATACATCGCTCTTTTTAACAGGACATTTACTATTTCAAAAACATGCTAAACGCCTATGAAATATGCCTATAAACAGTTACCCAGTTTATAGGCATACCTACAGTATGCCTATAAAACGATACGAAATGTCCTATGCCTTGGCTTTATAGCACTATTCTTTTTGCTACACTCGTTGTTGGCAGTATTATGAACTTCCAGCTAGAGTTCCTATTATAGGAACTCTACTTTCAGCAACAGGTCAAAACCCTCATGTACTCGCCGGTATCAACTTATGAATATTCATTAGTTTTAATAGCCTTAACAACCAACCGGATTGTTTCAACTAAATTTGACGACCACTATCATCATCACCGACAGATTTACTCAGTTGTGTGTTTCCGGTATTTGCATATTTAGTTCCGCAAAACAATGCAGTTTGTTTGGGGAAGATTCAGTTCTTGTGCTCATTATTTCATAAATTAAGATACACTGTAAGATGACGAGGCTCATCCCAATATGTTTCGTTTTATTAGTTTGTGTTTTCGTGCATGGTAAGTCTTTTAACAATTTATTTCATTTAACATTCTTCGCCTTTTGAGACGGCAAGTGAGCTCTTCTCCATAAGGGTGCTACTTACTTAGTGCTGGATGCCTGACCCAGCACCAGCGCCTGCAGTATCAGTTTTCTCAACAAGGAAATAGACTTGATTAACGCATAGTAACGTAGGTCGTTCCTTAAAAGCAGCATTTTTGAGTCTGTATTAGAATAAGAATATCAGTATTCAGTATTTATTTCACGAAAAAAAGATAAGAGTTAGTTTGCGGTTATCAGAAATTTTCATTTCAAATTTTGTGAAGATTGTCTATACACACACATGCCATAAACATAATATTCAGTAAGGAAAACAAGATACAGCAAAGAAGATGGAGAAAAGTTTAAAGTCACCCCACTTCCTTGAATATCACTGACTGATTTGGAATAAGTTAAATTGCAATATACCATATGCTGGATGATACTGCCAATCAAGGTTTTCATTAATAGATGCCTAAAAAAAAAGAGTTTAGGATGTTCTCCCAAGAACAGTGTTATTTAGTGTAATTAGAATGTTGTTGGGATTATACTTTTTTTTTTATAATTAGATTTAGTTGTATTAATAAAAAGTTTATTTAGAATAAACCAGTTACTAACTGTATGTAATTCATGATTGATAATTCTGATAAGGTCATCAAGGTCATCAAGATTGTTATGGGAGCCATCAGGAAAAAAAAATGAAATTAGTGTAAGAAAGATCGTTAACATATTAAGAATAGTAAAGAGCCTATGGAAGACCCCGGAGGGACTCATTATATTGAAACTATGAAACCAATCTTGTGCAACACCCTTATATCATATCTGAATAACTTGCCTATCAACATTTATAACATCAAACACATTTGATAGGTCTAAAGATACTACTGTAGCCTGGTTCACGGCGAAGTTAAGCCACTTATCTACTGTATAGATCTTGAAATATGATACGATTTATCCCTAGTTGCGTTTGATGCCAAGATAGAGCCAGATAAACAAAGCCAGCCAGCTTCGCGGCCGTCGATGTCACACGGTGGAAAGGTTTGTTTTAAAATAACGTCTACTGTATTTTACCCCTAGTACCAAGGGGTATTCGTAATAAAAAATTGACAAATTCGTAAATTACTGTATATCAGGTGTCAGTCTCCACTACCTAGCCTAGCTATCCTCTGCCATTGATATATAGTATGAACCAACCGACAGTGCAGCAGCGCATGGTCTACCGCAATAGTAGTAGACTA